TTCTACATTTCCTGCTGCCAGCCTTGAAAAGTTTTACTGAGGTGTAGGTGACTGTGACATAAGGCATTGACATTGTTGTGTTTTACATAAGGTCATTAAGCTCCTCTGAGCTGAGCTGCGCTGTTATCTACCTTTATGTTATTGGCTGATAAACCATGAACTGACAAAAATAGATGAGAGTTCACCACCATAAAACTAGATACATGCAGGTTTATAAATTGCCCTTAAAATAAAGATGTTTTCCTACATAAAAAGTTACGTTTGTTACATGAACATGTTTTAATCAATTGACAACTTATTGTAAGAAGTTGGACAAAATATAATAATAATAAGAGCAAGGTGTTAACTTATTTGTTTACCACTTTTTAATAATATTTCTGTGTTCACCAAACTGCAGGGAAATATTAAGTTAGCCCAACTTGTCTACATAGTGAGTTTCAACTATGTATTTTTTAAGATAAGTACATGCACAAATTTACCCCGGCACGTTCTACCGCAGATGCCTCTATCACAAGAAGAGAAAGGAGGAAGACAAACGGGAGTTTTAATATTTGAATATCATGAGGGTAAGTAACTATCTTTGTTTTGTCTTATTCACAACTGCTAACTGAGTTCAGCACACAGTGCAAGATATTATTGTTTTTTATGCAGCACTTAAGTTAAATTATGAAGCTCATTTAGAAAACTCCTATAGGCATTCTTAGCTAGCTAACATTAATGCTGTCTCTTTTTGTCGGAGGCAGACAAATTACGTTACGTGGCACTGAACTTATATAGAGTTAGTTTTGCCACTGCAAAGGTAAGAGAATAAGTGTTTTACTGCATTTCAAGTTAAAGCTGGCACTGGTAGGGATGTTAAGCCATGTTAACGTGGAGCATAATCCAAAAGCCAATGGAAAAATCCTGTTGGCTTTTTGAGATAGAACCAGGGCGATGCTAACATTCCCGAAGCCTACAAAGCCTATGTTATCTCATACTCCGTGGATGTGCATTTTTTCTTGTTCACAGGATAATTCAGTCGAAGGAAGGAGAGAGGTCACTATCCGTTATCTGGTGGCGTTTCTCAGAGAAAAGGAGGAGGGCCTCTTCAAAGAGCACATGGTAAGAAACACTGAAGTTCAAACAGTTCACTGTACTTTGTGTTGCTCTTGTTTTTAAATGTGATGACTTAAAACACTAAAATATTTTCTGTCCTACTTATTACAGGATGGTGAAGCACAGGCTACCAGTGAGGTGATGAATGTGCCATAATGACTGACAGCCAGTGCAAGGATTGATGGAACAAAGGTCCTGGAAGACCTGAATGTACCAAGAGCATGTGCCTTGCTAATGGGGCTGATATACGCACTCAACCTCAGCTAATCAAAAGAACTGTACAAAACATTTGACCATCACACTTGTGTTTATCCTTCAGTGACTTCTGAAAATGGCTGCTAAAGGGCCTATTATGAAGACTATCTCATTTGGGGATGAGGAACCAGCTAAGCACCATCATTTTTCTTTTCCCAACTATTGTAGGAAGTGGCTGGGCATGTATATTTGGTGAACATAATTGTTAGCAGTAAGAATAGTTTGAACAGTGTTTACAATAAAAAGACCATATTAAACTGTAATTGCTATTTGTTGTTCTTACTTAAGCTACACAAATAACTGATATCAATATCAATATCACGTTTTACATCAAGAATTGTGTTGGAATGATTTTTCATATTATCTCATGATCTTTAATTTTTGGATGTCAAATCCTCCTCCATCCTTATTGCTCTGTTAACTGTATCTTGTCTTATTTTAACATTGCCTTTAAATTAAGTCTATATATAAATTTTAAACATTCATCCCTCACTCCTGGTTCCTCTACCGTTTTATAACATGTAGTCTTATGGAACATGTTTTCTGCATCTGTTTTCTCACTGCGTTGAGTCAGTTTATGTATCTTCATCATCTTATCTCCAGGTTTTAGAATGGTTTGTTTTGACCATGACCTTCTCATTTCATGTTTTATCATCCTAGATCAGATTACACAGGTTATCCAGGTTGAAGGCCCACTCCTTATAACACACATGCAAAAAACAACTTTGCGTGCTGTTTTTAGTGGGGGTATTATTGTAAACTGAAAGCAGGGACATTCCATAGCAACCCACCACAAACCTGTCACTTTATGTCACACAGACACTCACACTGAATTCATGGGACCTTGCAAAATTTTATTAGCTATATAACATTTTATTAGTTATCTCCTTTAGGCCAAATTACATGCAATGTATTTTCTGTCAAAAAGCATTGCAGCCAGGAGAGATTTACCAAGAAACAAATTAATATGAGTGAGGTAGAATGAAATGTAATTTATTTTGAACAGAGGAATAGACTTAGACCCCAGCAGGAAGTAGAACACCATGGAAATACACCTATGAATCAGGTGCTTTGGATCAAAGGAGACTTCCCCTAGAACCTAGACACTGGTGCTGATGAGGAATGGAGCAGGAAGTTGGGACGTCTGATGAAAGACATTTGATTGGATGGTGGATGGGCGATGACCTGGTATCCAGAGTTGAGGTGGTGCAGGGGTGGAAGTTGGTCACTCAGGGATTGTGGTAATGAAGCGACAGCTGAATGACAGGAGGAAGAGAGAGCATTTTAAACTCAGCTTACAGGTGATTGACACAAGGCAAGTGTCACGTTGTGATTGTATGAAAAGGGACAGTGAGTGTTTTAGCCAAATAGAAATTAAATAATTATTCATTTGTGTATTGTGCGACTGCACCCACTGAAAGACAGAAACAATAATCAGAGTGGTAGTTGTTTACCAGTCTGTTGGAGTTATTTGTATGATTACTAACATCTTACTCACCAGTTATTTTTTGACTTTGAGAACAGGGTGTTAATTCACACCTCATTTATCCAGTTTTCAGACCTGACCTGCTACACGTTTACAGAAAACATTTCACAGGACTGTTTGACTAGCACTGCAGTGTGAGCTTACATATTTGTGTGTGTGGGTGTGGCAGTGTGTGTGTTTGTGAATGGTTGTGAATGTGTGTGAGTGTGTGTGTGTGTGTGTGTGTGTGTGTGTNGTGTGTGTGTGTGTGTGTGTGTCTTTGTTTCCTCCCTGAAAAGCCATGTGGTCTGTCAATTCATGGTCCCCATAGAAAATTTTGAGAAGATTGTAGTGACACATGACTGCCTATCACTTCCGTCCATGCGTGGACCTCTTGGAAATTAATGTCAGGACCACGAACCTGTGTAGCCTTATAGCAACACTTTGGAACTTTTACTGAGCAACAGCGCCCTCTGCAGTCACATGTGGTGATACACTCTGCTGGGCGCAATGTCCATGTGATTAAGTGGTTTTGTTAAGATAAAATAAATCCTATCAATCTGAACTCACTGAACTGAAACACAACTGAATTGTGGATATTTCCCATGATGCCCGGCTGTAACAAATACACCAAACTCTGTTTAGAATTCTTCACATTTAAAAGGTTTCCAATCTGTACATCAGAGATTGATGTAATTTTTTTAAATAACTTCAAATTTTTTGAAAACTGATCCAGAGTCCAGCATTGCTCTTGAACTTACTGGGCCTGATTCTGACAATTTAGGCTGCACCGATCAGTCAACCCATCACTTCTCACAGGAGATCGTACCCACTCACCAAAGTTACATAGTGCAAGAACAGACATTCAGGGTGAGGAGTGGGAATTAAAGTGGCTCCATGCTCCATATTCCAAGTCAGTGAACCATCCAACTCGGTTTATAGCTGCTGTTTCTGAGATAACAAATTGTACAATGTTGCTTTAATATCAACTACTATTAAATATGATGAGTTTCGTAGGGTGCGTGCGTTAGGTGTTTTACCACACAAAGTACAACACGTACAGTGAAGAAACCTTTTGAGCTAAAGATAGAAGAATTACAGAGGATGCGTAGTGTTCTGTTGCTTAACCCGCCACAGTTACAATGCTTCACATGACTGTTGCATGAGAGATGGCATCCTGTGACCACAAACACACTCAAGCACAAGATGCTTCTCCAACAGAGCAGTGATTGATGGTAAAGGTCATCCTCTCGCACCACAGACTCATCCCATGACCTTGAACACTTGACTCTACTTTGGACGTAACACGGCAGCTTACGTGTTAATGATTGTGAAACTACATTCCACTCTGTGTGAACTCGGTTTGTCCCTGGAGTGTGCTCTGAGTGTGAATGAGGCTGTTGACATGCGGCGGTGGTGGGAGTGGGTGCCGGCTCCCGTGGGGAGTTGGCTGAACAGCCTGTTGCAGAGCAAACACATTTCTGTCGTCCAGATTTTACACAGCTGCTGTGAGTGTATTTGACATCAGCACAACATACCAGATACTGTTCGTAGTCCTTTCCCTTGACTCCTCTGTGAAATGTCAGCAGAACGGATGTGTTAAGTTGAATCTCGGAAAGGTTTTAAATAAAGATGCTGCTGCTGCCACCTTGTGGAGTTCATCAGTATGTTACATCACACACTTTCGTAAGCACTGCTCAGCAGAAATCAGTCCTGTCACATGATCAATGTCTATCAGAGGTGAAGACAAGGATGGAAACATGGAAATCACCTCTGTCGTAATGTTGTGCTGGGTATTATGAAAATCTAACACAAAAACGTTTTGACTTCTGGAATAAAAAAAACTAAAAAAAAACTCAAATAGTGTGAATGTTACGATCCAGCTCATAAGGGTGAAGGAACAAAACATAAAACCAATTGTTGTTGGCTAAATTAATTATTTAGATTAAGTAAATAATAAGGCTTGAGCAAAAAAGAGGAAACAGGTCTAAAGGGGCGGATTGAAAAAAACCAACAAAGGACTCCAGAGTTACCAGATATCTAAATGGTTAAAGCTAGGTTTGGTAATCCTGGAAAAGCATAAATCAAAATTAATCCATAATGCAGCACATTTTGTATTAAAGTACTGTTACAGAATACTGTACTGCATCCAGTGTAATGCTCCTCCTCCCTGTCTGTCCTGTAGGTGATCTCCTGTTTTGGCCTCTCTGTGGTCTCGGGCCACTACGTGGGCTTCTCTGTGGTCGCCCTGTTGGTGGAGATAAACTCTGTTTTACTCCACCTCAGGCAGATGCTGCGTATGGCCAACATCGCTGCAGGAACACTGTACCGGGTCAACAGCATAATCAACCTGGGCACGTACGTGGTGTTCCGCATCAACACGCTGGCCTGGATGACCCGCTGGCTGGTGCTCAACCGGGACAAGGTGCCCCTCCTGGCCTACACGCTGGGCAGCGTGGGCATGGCCATCATGACGGTGATGAATATTGTCCTCTTTTATCGGCTGCTCCGGAGTGACTTTTTGAAGAATAGCACCAGGGAAACAAAGAAGGAGAAGGAGATGTAGAGACAAGGAGGAGGAAGAGACACAAGAAGGATTAGATTTCACACACTTATTGCTGTATGTTTACACCCTATGGCTCAGATTTGGTACCATTTTGCCTTTATGTATATAGTACAGTAAACTCATAGCTGGGAAACGAGCGACCTTTCTCATATTGTACAGATTGTAACCGGTGGGCCTCATTCCAAACACAGATCACACTCAGCCTTTATGCTGAAATCTGTCATTTGTAGTTTTGACAGTTTCTGTCCTCTTAAAGTGCCATTAGTGGCTCACTGATGGTGAAAAAAGGATTTTTCATATAAACTTGTAAAACAACATCAACACCTTCATCGTCCTGCAGGGTGATTCAGCTAAATCTAAAATGTGGCTTATGGTAAGTGAATATGCACTGTTTGTAAACCCTCCCACACCCATGTATGCATTCATATTATATACTGTACATATTGCATATAATATACATACATATGCTGTTGTGGGTCATTTAAAAGTTTCCCATAAAGTTTATTTGCAGCATAAATTAAAATTTTAAGAATAAATTAGTGGAATTCAAATCCTCTGGGTGTGTAACACTAAAGCCTACAGAGGTGATTATTTCTTTTTTCGTTTTCCACCAAATATCCTCAACCAAAAACCACCTGCTACCTCGGAAAGCTTGTAACAGTCGTTTACTTCTTTCAAAAACAAGCTTCACTGTCAGTGTTTGGCTGGTAGTTTGTTGCTGGAGAAGAGTAAACGTTAGGAAAAGCTTTTGTCAAATAGAATCAGGAAATCCAGCAAACAGCAGTCCTCACACGGAGGAGAGAAGAGGGTACTCGGATGGTTAATAATTGCTAAATATGTCAAAAAGTGGCATTTAAATTAAAGCAAAATAGATTTGAACAATAATAGCCTTTTTAAAAGATTATGTAAAAATAACTCACAAAGCTTAAACAAATCAGTGATAAATCACATAAAATAAAAAAAGCACATGTCTATTTGTTATAGAGTCCCATGATGGTGGACAGTCTGCAGTAAGAGCTTTCAGACTACCTGATATTCCTAATCTGGCCTATGGAGGGCAGCAAACTCCTTAACATCACCTCAGTGCCCTCAAGACCACCAGAGGTGTCTTTTATTTTGTAATATCCTCAGAAATATGTGCCTTTGATTTGAAGTTGGCACAGGAAGACATGGAGAAATCCTCGAGGTCAGTGTTGGATCAAGCAGGTCTGAGATCTGTGAATACAGCAAACTGTTAAACATGCTGCTGCCTACTCTTCCCACTCACACTATGACATCATGATGATGCCATTCGTGTTTTGTGTTTTTGCTTTTTTCGTGTATATTAATTGTCTCCAGGGGTTAAATTGTATATATGTATAATTTATTTGTAATTAAAATATAAATTGGGGATTAAAGATGGAATGAACACAGTGTTCAGGGAATTTCCCCCGATGTTTTTGGGTTGTCCACTTGTCCCATTCTTGTGAACACGATATCTCAGGAACACCTTGAGGAAATTTCTTCAAATTTAGTAAAAATGTTCAGTTGGACTCAAAGATGAACTTATTAGATTTCAGGGGTCAAAGATCATGTGACCTCACATGAAATGTATGTATAAATGTCTAAAATACACTGAACATTGTAACCTTCATGAAGGGAGGATTTGATGCTTAACTGTTGTGTTAGACTCAGTTTGTTTCGGCTGAATGTAGTTTGCAGATAAATATTTGACACAAACAAATTAAAATCTTTGTCCACATCAAAATCAAGACATCGCTGCACTAAACAGACTGCACAGTTTGGGAGGAAGGCAGTAGAGATTGAATTATTATTATTGTCGTGACTTAATTACCTTTTTTTAGTATCTCCCTTTTTGATTTGATCCTATATTGTCAATCTAGATTTGCTTTTCTCCAACTTTTTCGGGCAGCTTTGTGGTTGTAGTAAGGAAAAATGGTGACGATTGAAGTTCTTACTAACAAACAAGCTTATATTTGTAAATGTGTTGTGCAAAGCTGTAATGTTATTGGAATTATACATGTTTGATACCAGATATGTCCATGATGTTGTTGTGGGGTCTTATAGGAAACACAGCAGCTGAATGCGGTTTCAAATGATGGCAGGATAAATGCCATCATCAGCCCTGCTCTTCCTGGGGTCCGCAGCAAACAAACCTACCTTATAAGTTGGATAACATTTTTATTTTTTATGTTTTATAAATGAAACTCCAATTTATGTTTATACAATAACTGTTTAACGTGACAATAAAGATCAATGAAATGAAACATTGTGCGGCCTCTGTAGAGACGGTCCCCTTGATGTAAATATAAAGTATTTAAATAAAAAGGGCCTTTTCTGGGGTAAAGAAAACTACAATTCATACAATTTAGATGAAACGAACTAGTGGAAACATCACAAGGATTATTTTACATTAAATTTCTGCCAGTAGATGCCTTTCACCTAAATCTTACACACTGGACCTTTAATTCTTGGTCCTCAGATGACAAACACTGTAGAAATCTCATCAACCAAAAACTCAGAATAATGAAACTTGATACACAGCAGATGTTTGATGTGGATCTTTAAAACATGATATTTTCTAATCACATTGTTTAAGTACATGTTGTTCATGATGGTGTGTTGTTGTTTGTGCTCCCATGAGTCCACACACCCTTGGCTCGGCACTGATCCTCTTCAGACTCCCTCTATTCAGATCAGGGCTGCTCCCTCCAATCAGATGCCGTGTTCACTCCGTCGTACGATGTTCTCGCGTGTTTTGCGCACGGTGGCTTGTTTTCACAGCATTTCCGAGCTCAGCGTCCACAGCAGCCTGACGTGTGGGTGTGCGGGAGATGAGGAGCAGACGCATGCATGTCGAAGAATATATATTTGAAAACATGGGCTGCGCACCTCATCCTCGGACTTTGAAAACATGACGCATGACGCGGACGTCGCAGCGGTTTCTCCAGAGCGCAGCGGTGGTCGGGCATTTTAACGCAGCTCTCCAGCCTCTTGTTCCCCCTCCTGCTGGGATCAGACAGCGTCACATGCGGCTGAGACGCACTCAGATAACATGTCTATGGATGAGAACCGCAGCCTGCATGATCTGGACCAGCGCTGGAGACCAGCATGCCCGCACCGGAGGACGTTTTTCTAACGATTGCAAACCACATCTCTTAAATTTTGGTACTTGACATCAATTATAAGGTAAGAAGAGACTCTTGTGTTGACCGATGGTTCAATGCAAAATGCGTAGCTGGGTCTGTGTCCTGCATGATTTGCTGCCATTCCCTATAGTTGAATGTGGTAATCTAAAAAAAAGAAATGTTCATTATTGTAATCATGTCATTCCATGGTTTATTCATGGAGTAACGAGACATAAGTATAATAGTTCGTTTTTGATAATGCTGTGATGTATATTAATATGTCAATAACTTATTTTTGCAAGATCTACTTTTAAATGTTTGCTTTACCTAATGTGTACATTATCAAATTATAATGATCTGAATGTATTTGAATGCATTTTTAATGTTTGAATGTTGTGGTTTGCAAAGAGATAGATGGCCGTGTTATGAGCTTAAGATGGAAAACCATATTGCTGCTTGAAGTAGTTTACAAGAAACTATAGCTGAGTTTATCGGGTTTGAGCGAAGGCGCCTCCAAATGTCTTTGCACATCCCTGGTTTGATCCCATTTCTGTTCATCTCTCTGGTCATCAATACCTTATTTATAGACCCCCCCCCCCCAACATGACCTTAATACTTTCAATCCTTGGCTGACATAAGCAGCATTCATCAGTGTGAGAAAATAACATTTGCAGCTTTACACTGTCACAAGTTAAACTATAGGACTCATACCATAAAAAATAATGACTGTTAGAAAAACACGATTCAGTTGTTGGTTTCTGGAATCAATATATTTGTAGCACAGTCAACCCATATTTTTTATTTCAGCTACTTTGGCCACTAACTCGTTGGTATAATCTGCCAAGTGTGATTTTATTATTTCTAAGGTGTATCAAGTGTAAGGTCTAATAATTTAGAAACTATCCATAGAGTATTTGACCATGCCAATTCTCTCCCTGTGTCTGCAGCCTGCAGCCATGGCTGATGAGAGCAGCAGCGTGTCCCAGCAGATAAGGAGTGTGGAGAGGAGCATGGTGTTCCTCCGGCAGGAGCACCTCACTTTGCTCCACGGTCTCCACCTAGAGATCCTCTCCCTGCAGAAACGATGCTCAGGTGAACAGTGTGTGTGTGAAAGAGAGAGCGAGAGACCATAACACCAAAGACATTTTTAGCAGTTAAATCATTTATATAGTAAAGTAAACCCTCAAGTGAATGAGAACGTAGACTTTTGTGTATGTATTAATTGTTGGTTTAGTCTCTAAAATGTCAATACAAATAATGAGATCCTGCCCATCACATCAAAGTTTGTCATTTTTACTTGAAAAATCACAGATAGGATTCATCAATTATCAGAATACACTGTGATAAATTCTCTGTCAATAACAGACTAATAACTTCAGCTGTAAATAGCTCATGTTTATGTGCTTCATTCGCCTTTGCCTCATGCTTAGCTGCTTTAATTCTTCATTAATCAGCAGGCACCCCTCTCATTGACCCCCTACCGTCACACAGGCGATTTATTCAGAGTTTTAATTACAGGCTTGATGGATTATAAGACGATTGTTCCAGACCTTTTTTTAATGAGGGTTTAATAATCCACCAAGTCTGCGCCCACATATAATTCATTTGTAATGATTTCACCTTCTTTTATTCTGGCTGCATGACCAATATTTAATTTAAGGGCGTGGTGGTGGTTTAATAACAGTCCTCGAATGTTCAAACAGTACCATGTGCACACGCTCCCTATTGTTCTCATGTGTGTCTGCTCCATCAGTCAGAGCCAGACTGTGACTACATGGTGATGTCATGCTACAATTCCTGTTGATTACATCATTTCCTGTTTGAGGCTTAATGGATAATGAATCCATATAATCAAGCAAGTGCAGATGAACACACGAACACACGAACACACACACACAC